AGATGCATGTATGTAGTATGTACTAATGTATGCATATTGGTTATGAGACAAAATAGATATGTATTATGTAACGTAAGTTTCACTTCTCCAGTGCGGCCCAGGCGCCTTTACTTTTTTACGAGTTCTATGTAGTTCGGGGTTCCTCTTATCAAAACTAAAATTCAATAACTTTGTTATTAAAACACTATCGTTCAAAAAGTGATCGACCCACATAACTTTTTTCTCATGCATCCTCGTGGACGGTGCGGGTTTATGTTGTTTCCCTTATCGGAACACTAGTTTGATGCGAATATGTAGGGCTAAAAATTTTCAAAAATAAATTGCTTTTTTTATAAAATGTCTTACCACATGCTCTGCATACCATTAAAAAACACTCTGCGTACTAATATTTTCATTATGTATTTAATTTTTCAACAATCAGCAGTTATGTACGTAAATGTAATTTTGTCGGATGGGAATATGGCTTATACATATGTACATACATATATAGGTAAGTACATATGTACATATATTTGAATACGTTTCACAAACTTCGATTAAGAAATTAATATGCGACTCTATATATATTTTTGGAGTATGTTTGAGAAAAATATAAATTTTTTTCTTACGCAGGAAACGCAAAAGCCTTGTTTTACATACATAATTACAGACATTAGAATGCGTTGATTTACATGCATACATAGTTACAATACAAATTTCATAGCATGCATGCTTGTTTGTACAAACATTTTTTTTTTTAATTAGTTCTACTTTAAAATTTTATTTTTTGCAATGTTGTTTTTTTTAATTTTTTTATTTATTTTGTGTGATTTCTTTTGTTGCTCAGGTCATCATATCATTTGCGACGATATGTTCATTTGTATTTTTGTTATCTTTTTTGCCACATACTTTTCATTCGTTATTTATTGCTTGCAAACTTTTTTTACAATACTTACATACATTTAATAATTTATTATTGATTATAAAGCTTTGAGGTGCATCAGTTTGATTACAAATTAGATAGCCTTAAAGATGATTTTTGCAATAATTTTAATTACTGCTGAAAGCAAAATAAATAATAAAATTGGAACCACCAAACTTGAAAATATTTTTCATAAAAATTTCGATAGACAAATGAAATTGTTTAGATGTTTGAGTTTTCCACTAAACATAAATTTTTAACGATTATGGATATGTTGCAATAATTCGAAACAAAAAGGATATTTTTGCGCATTAAAAAGATAACTGAGGTGAAAATTAAAAACTCGAAAATCTGGAAAGCACCGAACCTTAAAATATTTTTCGTACAAATTTTGAAGGCTAAATCATTCCATTATTCAGTTTAATGACTATTTTTCATAGTCTGTTGAAAAATATTAAAAAATTATTATTTCGGAAATAAAAACGAAATTATATTTGATAAAAAATAAAATAATAAAAAAGATAACTTTGGCGAAAAAAAAACTTGAAAACTTGGAATGCACCAGACTTTTAAAATATTTTTCATACAAATTTCGAGAAATAAATAAAATTTTCGAGGTTCTTTAGTTATTACACTTGATATTTGATATCGATATGACATTTTTGTGCATTGACTGCTTAGTTATATAGATTCCTCTTCCACAAATTTTTTAATTCCATTATTTCTAGTAATCTGAATTACTATTTTTCATTAGACTGTAGAAATATATTTAAAAAATAAAAAATAAAAAATGCTGTTTTATTTTGTCTATGGAAACCTTTACAAGGGCCTGTCCCACCAATCACAATTTTATATTTTTTTTTATTGTTTTTATGGTCCTCGGCCATTTTGCGCTACACCCTAGACAAAAAAAATTAAAAAAATCAGCGGTAATTTTTAGCGACTTTAAACATGCACTTTATTGTACTACAATTTAATGGGCTGCAAAACTGCATATACATTTTTCTAAGAAATCGAATTGAAAAATTTAAAATTTCGATAAAAATATTCCGGCATTTTCCCCCGAGTTCTGTATGAAATTAAAAAAATTTATTCTTATGTTTTTGCTATATTTTTCAAAAAAAAAAATAAGAAAAATTTGGTATGGAAAATATAAATAAAAAAATTGTAAATGCCAGGGTATGCATATTTTCGACGCTGACTGTACACAGCTGTACAATACGCCTTATCAGAGGCATCGGAAAAGCCATCGAGGGATCTCAATCTCCGATATCGTTCTAATAATGACCTAATTCCTTCCGCTACCGGGAAGTTGGAATATTATATTATTTGCTGACAAGCTATGTATGTAGGGGAGTTTCTTTCATAGTTATTTTCGAACCAAAAAAATTTTAAGGACTCGCCTGGTTTACATCAAAGATACTAACAAAAAAACAGGGCTCTGTAAGAGAGTTAAGGATGCGTAAGCACAAAATTCAAAAAAAAAAATAAAATTTTAATTCACGGGTATATTTCGGAACTACTACACAAATAATCGTTATATATAATACCATGTCTTCAAGTGTAAGCCCTATTATGGTGGGTGTTTTTTTGAAAATTAAATTTTTGTTCCACATTACAATGTGGGTGTTCAGATCTATCTGGTTATCAGGTTATGTGGTTATACTTTCTATACACTATATAATGATAATTTTCAACCAGATAACCTCACAACCATGCAAGTGTGAACACGAACAACTGACTGACGACATGGCATTTATCATTGAGATAACAAGCAAAATTATACATAAAGTAAAATTAAAATACATTTCTAAATATTAAAAAAAAATTTTGCTTGTATTAAATTTAGGCACTAAAAACAACATTGACTTTTTTCACGTTTTCAAATAACTTTTTTCTCTTTTTTAAATAATTTTGTTCTCTTTTTAAAATAACTTTTTATCCTTTAAGAATGCCTATGTGTTGCCAGCACACATTATTGCTCTTCATTAACAATTTCAAATCGTTCCCTTCAGTATACTTTCACAAATCCGATTTAATTTTTGATTCTTTAATTGTCCAGCAAAAAATTGATAGAACTTACTTCTGCCAATCTCATAATTTCTTACTACTAAACTTTTAACATGAAACCAAATGCAAAATATCATTTCTTATTTCGCCTTAGTTTAATTAACAATGCTACTTTCAACGCTGGTNTCACGTTTTCAAATAACTTTTTTCTCTTTTTTAAATGATTTTGTTCTCTTTTTAAAACAACTTTTTATCCTTTAAGAATGCCAATGTGTTGCCAGCACACATTATTGCTCTTCATTAACAATTTCAAATCGTTCCCTTCAGTATACTTTCAATCCGTTTTAATTTTTGATTCTTTAATTGTCCAGCAAAAAATTGATAGAACTTACATCTGCCAATCTCATAATTTCTTACTACTAAACTTTTAACATGAAACCAAATGCAAAATATTATTTCTTATTTCGCCTTAGTTTAATTAACAATGCTACTTTCAACGCTGGTAAAAATGTGCTAATGTTTTTTTTTCTCATTACTTAAAGATGCTTTCAATATAAAATCTACACTGCAATATAACTGCATATACAAATACTTTTTTTTGTAATTCTTACAACGCCGAAAGCTATCAGAGCAGGATATTTTGTCTATTTCCTTTCTCTAATCTTTCATTAAAACCTTTCGGTTCATCATTTTTTTTTTATAAAAGCTTGCAATCGAATAAATATTCCTTCATGCTAATTTTTTAATGCAAACGCGGTGATTTTTATAATTTTTACATTTAAAATTCAAATAATTTTTTCATAATCTTCGTACATGTATTTATTGTATGAATTTATGTATATGACACGTGCATATTTGCAATTAATAGTTTTTGTCGTTTGCATAAACGTNATAATTTTTACATTGAAAATTCAAATGATTTTTTCATAATCTTCATACATGTATTTATTGTATGAATTTATGTAAATGACACGTGCATATTTGCAATTAATAGTTTTTGTCGTTTGCATAAACGTAAGCAAGGCAAAACTTTAATACAAATTTGATTTCCTTTTATATTTAGCTTTTTGAGTGCACTTCTTCAATTCCTTTTTTTTTAATTTTCGTAATTTTTTATTTTTCATTATTTATATGTATAGAAATGGTCACAAGGCAATCTTTTATCTTCACATTTAACCACCCTAAACCGCAGAAGCTCGGCTGCACTCGCCGCTTTGTTTTTCAAATGATTACTTAAAAAATATTTTTTCAACTTTCTTCATTTTTAATGAAGCNCTAAACCGCAGAAGCTCGGCTGCACTCGCCGCTTTGTTTTTCAAATGATTACTTAAAAAATATTTTTTCAACTTTCTTCATTTTTAATGAAGCCAAAGTTGTATAATCTGTACCAATGCTGTAACAGATTTTGTCGATCTAATATGCACGTAATTCTTTTTTTTACCAAGTACGAGTATACATATTTATACTCATTTGTATATAAAAATGTTCAACAATTTTCTTTCAACAATTAAGCTAACAACATTTACATAACGTGTGTATATACAGACATACAAATGGAAAATGTCAAAATGTATATTTGATTATTTTCCATACTTTTATCAGCACAAAATGATTTTCTTTTTAAATCTGTGTGATTCTGAGTTACATCGGATTTTTTATAATTTTTTCTCACTGCATGCATTTTATGATTTAATAATTTAGTTTGCACCTATTTATCTACTGTGGGCTTAAAAATTTTGTTTGTAATCAATATTTTTTTCAGTTGCAGTTGAAGTAGCGGCTTAACATAATTTTCGATTACCGTTAAAGGTACAGACGGTGAGTTACAGGTCACTAAAAAGGTGGCTATTGGACTTAAGATGTTTAGGATAATTCTAACAAGGAAATTGTACTTTTCAATTTAATTGAGTTCAAATTAATTTAATTAAATTTTATTATATAGTATTATATTTTTATTTTTTACAATTTATTTAAATATTTTTTATTTAAATTAATTTATTTTGTTTTATTTTACTTGTATTTTTTCTGCTTTTTATATATTTTTTATTTTGTTCTATTTAGTTTTTTTTAATTTAATTTTATTTATTTTTGATTTGTATTTTATTTAAGTTTATTATTTTATATAATATATTCCAAGAATAATTCCATATGTTACACAACACTTTTTCGACCAGTTAGTGAATACCGTCGTTAATATTTTGCAAGTGCAAGTACAACTCTGCGCTGTCAATCAGTTTCCGCCGCCATTCTAACCGCTACGCGCCTATTTCCTTTCTGTAAGTTGAAAATCAGTGAAAATTGTGAAATATGTGCAGAAAAGTGAATTAAACGACGTCTCCTCAAAGAAATTAAAAAGTTATGTGTGTTTTCTGCAACAAGAAAGTTAAATAATTGCCAAATTAGTGTTTGCAAATTTTCCAATTAAATAATTTTGGTGAGTGAGTGATGCAGTTCAAAGTGTGAGAAATATGTAAAAATCTCAGAAAATCAGGAAAAGAAGGAAAAGGGTAGAAATTGTGTGGAAAAGAATTACATTATTATAAACCCATCAGAGAGGTAAGTTTTTATTAAAAAATAATATAAATTAAGTTATCAAAAACATAACCTAGGCGAAACTGACGGCAGAACTGCACTGTGTATTATTTTATTGCAACAGCAAAATGGCTTCTGAACTTATGGTCCCTGACCAATTTTCATTTTCGTTCACTCCAACAGCTTTTAATTGAATATAGTGGTAACTTCCTAGCTTTTAACCTAAACATCCGCCGTCCTAGTAAGACTTCTACTAAAAGGTGGCTTAAATATTACAACTTATCTATACTAGTTGGATCCTTAAAATTTATTGAAGTTGTAATTTTTACTTTTACAGCTAAGCAACAACAAGTTAATTAGTGAGTATAGTAAAAAACATTATTTTTTAAAGTACTTCGCTTAAAATTAATTATGTAATTGCTTTGAGTTTCTGGAAATTCTATGCTACATATAAGCTAAGCGCACAAAGGAGTTCTTTTGGTTGCCATAACCAATCGTCTATTAACAATGTTGTAGGCTTCAGTTCAACACGAACCGACAACAAACAAAAAATACTTCTAAGCAGCTTTCACAATTAAAGGAACCTATACGAAGATTTCTACTTCGCGCTGATCTAGCATACATACATTGTGAATTCTACGCTACGTCGAGTGTAGCTGATTTACTAACAATTCCGTTTCCGCTTCTAAGCGGTTATTTTGATTGAACCAGCAATAATCAATACCACACGCCATTATCAAGCTTTACAGTTGTTTCACCTTTGCTGTTGCTGCTGCTGCTGTCTTTTCACCATAGTCGCAGCCCTAAAGAGCGAATACAAAATCCATTTTAATACAAAAGCCACAAAATATACGTACTTCATAAATTTACCTTCTCACTCCATGTCGTGGACTTACCGGTGGCGTGCGTACCGGCGAAGGTGGCGCCGAACTGCCCGATGAGGTGCGTGAAGACAGTGATAGCGTTGAATTGCGGGGCGCTGAGCAGCCAAGATAAATTGCCGATCCCTTATCGACATCACGTAAGTCCACGCGCGAGCCATGGACGGACGATGGTACCGAACCAGGCACTTTTCCTGTGTAGGCGTGCAAACCAGCCGGGCTGCTGTAAGGCCGCACTGATAGACCGCTCACAGTGCTGGCACTGCGTTGCAGCTGTGTTTGTCCAGCACTGCCACCGCCGGAACCATTACCCGCATTACACCGTTCCAATTCATCCTGTTGCGCTGTCACTGTAGCGGAAACGGCGGCACGCGCCTTTGCTGTACTGCTGATGAGGCGGCTGCCTGCGCTGCTGACACGTGGATTGCGCAAGCGTGCAGCGGGTGGTGACTTTTGTAACGCCTCACGCTCCCGCTTTGCATCGCTAATGGCGGCTGCATATTCAGCAGCCTCTTTTGAACTGCTTGCCGTCGCTATGCGCGGTGACAAAGTAACGGTGGTGGTGGTCGTGGTGGTTGTCGTTTCCGACGTAGCCGTGGTGGTGTTGTTGCCGGTGTTGGTGGTTGTGTTGTTAGGTTGTGTAGTAGTAGTTGCTGTTGGCCCTGTTACAGAAGCACTACGCGCTTCTTCGTCTTCGGGTATTTTTTGACCGCCCAGTGAACGCCTTGTAACCTGTGAGTGGCTTGGCGATGTCGGACACGATTGCGCGACGTTAGTTGCGATTACGTTGCTAATGCCAGAACCTGATATCGAAGGCGACGCAGACGCGCTGGACGAAGAGGGTTGGCCGCGAAGGCGCGAACGGGTCGAAGCTGTGGATGGCCGTCGACGGAAGAGACCTTTTGAAGGGTCCATATTGCAGACACCTGCATGAAGAAAGTGTGTGGAAAAACGGGTATAATTTTAAAGAGAAGCAAAGGAAATACAAATGAAAATACAAGAAATAAGTTTGCAATAAACGACAATATAATAAAAGCTTTAGCTTGAGCGAGCGACGAGCGCAATGTGCTTTTACAGTGAATTTTTACAGTATATGCGGTTTACTATGATTAAATTACACTAATTAAATTTTAAACATCGTTGACAGTCTTTAACAGCTCATCAATTGGGCCGACACTAGCTCTTTCGCATAGCATTTGTTCAACGTTCGCCTCGCGGGGTGCTGGTGATACATTGGGCACTTCATCGGCATGCAGTGGGCGATAGTACAAAACGTTTTCCATCACCTGCTCGCCTACTTGATTATCTTCACAGCTTATTTCATCGGATTCAGTATCGCTATCATCATTATCTGCTTTATTTGCTTGCGTTTTTTGTACCTGCGGTTCACAAATAGCATCAATATCCGGTTCATCATCTACATCGCCGCCTTTTTCCAAACCACTATTATTTACATTTAAAGTTTTCCACTTTTCAGTTGCAAAAGAGATCATATAAGCCACCGAATTATTTGACGCAGCACCCGTTTCGTCGTTACCACTTGCTGGCACTTGGCTCCCCGCCTTCTCAATAACATTAACTTCCCCACCACCATTCAAAGGCAATACTATCATCGCACCTGTTGGACATTTTTCGCCCCGGACACAATTTCCCTCGCAAATATCCTTATTTTGCAATAACTCTTGGTAGTTGTCCAATGCTGCTGAACACTTAGAACGATCCAATTGCTCCAGTGCCGTCGAAGGAAACCGCTCACGCAAACGCTTACGCTCTTCCACCAAGCGATACATTTCGAACTCTTGCAGCTGTGTTTGGAAACCGATATTCGGATTGGCAACAGCGCGCCCAGCGCGCACTACCTTCAACGCCTCCTTCCAAGTTAAGTTCGTGGCGGTCATTATGTACGCCACAGCAACAGTGACCGAACGCGACATGCCAGCTAAACAATGAATGAGCACATTACCTTCACGCAATCGGGCGGCATGTATGAAATCATTGCAAACAGAAAAATATTGCGATAGATTCTGATCGGGCGTATCGGCAGCCATGACGCAGAGATAGTGTTTGTCCTGTGGCGGAAGAGGGGCAAAAGTGAACAATTTATTTAAAAAGTGACAATTACTATGTAGTGTGGTTGCATATGCTTACCGGCAGCAAACGCCGCGGACTATCGTGTATAGCTATAATGTGTGTAATTTGATACTTGTCCAGCTGCTGTTGATCTTTCGAATCGCGGTAATTGCCTACATAGAGGCCGGGCAGTACCTGGAATGATGGGAAAATAGATACATTAGTAAGGGAATAACTTGAGAAGCAAAGTGTTTTTATATAAATAAAACCCCGCTTGCCAAATTCATGTGCCAATCCATGCTGCGTTCTCAGAGGGACTTCGCCCTAAACCCTGTGGGTTTTACTCTGTAGATACGACAGCATTCGTTGAAACTTTGGAATGTACACTTCCTATATCCTGCTTTATACGCCTAAATAAATAAAACAGTGATATATTCTTCCGAGGCTACAAACTTCCTAGCTGTGCATCGTTTTATTTTTTTAATTTTAGTTTTCTAGCTAATAGTCAATGGCCATGCCAACTATTGGTTTGTTGCAGCAAAACAGCTGATTTGTGTTTTGT